ACTTAATTTTTTATTTAAAAGTAAAAAAAGTAATGTTGAATTGACAAAAAAATATGAAAAAAAAATTAATATCAACATCTTTAAGTAGAAAATTTAAAACTTAATTTTTTATTTAAAGTAAAAAAAGTAATATTTTTAACAAAAAAAAATATGAAATTAATATTTTCCTTTACATATTTTTAGAAAAATACAAAAATATCATCGAACAACATCTTTCTTGTTTTTTAAAATACTTTCTTAAACCAAACACGCCCTTGATCTTTTAAGCGATTCATTTTTCATTTTCCCAAGCTCCTCCTCTTCCAATTTTCTACAGAACTCATTCTTATTTGTTTCTTTCCTCATCCGGGATCAAAACAGGTTTCATTTTGGAGAATCAGACTGTAATCAGCTTCACATTTTGGAACCTATAAGTTCCATTTTTTTCTTCATTATACTTTGTATAAATCGGTACGGTGTTTAATCAAATCCCTCGAATTAACAATCGCACTTGTTCTTCTTCTTCTGCCGGTGACATTTGGGTGCTTTTCTACAGTTCAATCCCTTGAATTGTAGTTCGATGGCAACCCCATCAATAAAATCCGGGCATTGGTTACTTTACAAGACCTTCATCCTTCTTCTTCCTCTTTGGAGGAAGGGGCTTCACTCCGGGTAACTGGAGAGTAAGAAATCTCCATTCCAAAATTTCAGCTTCCTTCTCTTGGTATATGCATTTGTTATGCTTTAGGGGCAGTCCCCTACACCCCCTTTAAAAAAAAAAAATTACAGTATGAAATGTAACAAGGATATCCATTTCTTGGATCTTTTATGTTGAAATTCGATCGGTGTTGATGTTAATGGTAATATGCTGATGGTATTGGTGGAAAACAGCAAACATGCATTAATGGGTGTGATTGGTAATAGGGACAGAGAGAGTCTGAGATTGGACTGGTGGTGCTAGCATTGTTGGTGAAGATGGTTTTTTCTGTCATTTTGGTTGTGTAGAGGTGGGATGGTGTTGTGGTGTTACGAATTTAGGGATGTGGGGTGAGGGCGTGAAGTGGTGGCATTGGCTTTACAGGAACTCATCATAAAGTTGGCTTGCGATGCTCGAAGTGAAGGTGGTGACAGTGCTATGGTGCAAATTGAATGATGATGATAAATGAGGCAGGGTGATGCTTGTAGAAGGATGTGGGTCGCAATATAAGAGTTGATCCAAAGGGGAAAACGAAGAAACTATTTTCTTTTAATATTAGTAATGTTTTCCGAGGTTAGGATTTGATTTTCGATTTAAGTCTTTTGACTCAGTTGTAATCCTCTTGTGAAAATGGTAATTTTTTGGAGAGTAATATTTAAGAATGCAAAATTAGTTGGCGGCCGTTAGCCGTGGCTTCCCTTCAATTTCTTATTTCTCTCTTTTCTTTATTAATCTCCTTCGTGGCTTTGTTTATCCTTCCAAAACTCATGCCAGAAAGTTAAGACTTTAAGGGCCATCCTGCATTATGATAAGTAGATAACTCATCATGGGTGTCTGAAGATTCTGAAGAGCCTAGTGGGTTTGGATTAGTGCATGTCTCATAACTGATTCTGCACTGTAATGATTCTTGATCCTAAAGGTCTGTATTTGGGTGCTAAGGGGGAAAGAACTATAATGAAGGATCATGTTTGCAATTTTCTGGATAGTGATAATTTTGAAGTAAAGCTCTTATCCAACCAGGGATATTTCCACTTAAAGCAGTGACAATTTGAGGTGTTAACAGTATATTAGTTCTTGTTAACATTATTATTATATTATTATTATTATTATTATTATTATTAGTTTTTTTTGTACTAATCTTCCGGTATCCAGAAACCACATTGGGTTTTGATTAATACGGAATCGAGCCGGGTCGGATCCCATATGGGGGAAGCTCTTCCAACACCTATTTTTTTATTCATAAGACTCGAACTCGAGATTTTATTTAAGGGGAACCGAGCTTCTTTCGCTCGGAACAGCAGGTTGTTGGTTTTTTAGTTTTATATATGGTTTAGATGTTAATTGCTGAAACCTGTCAATAATATTAAATGTTTATGTAATAATGTCTTAGTCAACTATGTATTAATTGTGCTTGTGCTGGTCTGAGCTGCTGAATGTTGGG